AGGTCCAAAATAATCCAGCAGGGCCTGCAGGGGCTTCCCAGACGACCCAAGCGGGCCCCGAGTCGCCGAAAGACTGCTCCTGGACGCCCAAGATACGCCCAAGACGGCCCGAGAAACCCCCCCAAGGCACTCCACGACGCTTCAAGACGCCTCTCCCGAGCGCTTCTAGAGACCAAAATCGTGAATTTTACCGAGGTTTTGGAGAACATTTTGGCCTTCCAGCCTTTTCGGCTGTCCGACGTTCCAGGCCGGCTCCATGGGCCCCCGAGAGCGCCCCCAGACGGCCCCAGAGGCGCCCCGGAGAATCCCAAGACGGCCCCAAGATGCGCCCAAGAGGGGGACCACGATTCCAAAATTCGACCCTCCCGCTTGAAGAGTGTCCCAGGAGGCCCCAAGGAGCCCCCCAGAGGCCCCAGGAGGCCCCCGAGAGGCACCCAGGAGACCCAAACAAGGCTTCAAGAGACCACAAATAGCCCCGAGGAGGTCCCACAACGGTTTCAAAATGGCTGCCGAGAAGCTGCGAAACTGCTTTCACGACGTCCCCGACAGGCCAACCACGAGATCCAAACCAACACCCATGAGGCCTCTGACCCACCACCGAGGGCACCCGCCTCCCGCCCGCCGTCCGCGAAGCACGCACCATTCTGTACTCAACAGCTTCAGTCTCCAAGACAACACCCTGTAGTCAACAGCCCCCGTCTTCAAGGCAACACCCTGTACGCAACAAGTTTCCGCTGCAAGAGAGCTCCCTTAAGGAATTCACTCAAATCCCGACCCGCCCGCCCGCCCGCCCGCCCGCCACCCGCCCGCCCGCCGCCCGCCCGGCCGCTCGCCCGTCTTCCGCGTAGCACGCGCCACCCTGCACTCAACAGCCTCCGCCTCCAAGACAGCACCTAGCCTAGCATTCAACAGCCCCCAGGGCTCCCGGGACTGCCCGGGCCCGCTCTCAAACACGCCACGACACGCCAAGAGGGCCCTAAAGATCAAGACAACCCCAAGAGGCCCCGGACACGCCGAAGATGGCCTCAGGACGGCCGACGACGCCGCCAAAACGCCCCAAGAGCGCCTCCAAAGGCCCCTCCAAAAGGCCCCGCATTTTTGCGCTCTCGCATGCTCCGCTTCCCACGGTCCCGGACGGCGTCAGAGGCCCTTCAGATCGCTCCAAGACGGCCGAAGAGGCTCCCAAGGAAAGACCAGAGACGGCCCAGGAGGCTCCCCAGATAATTCAAGTCGCCCCAAGAGAGCCCCAAGAGCCAAGAGCGACCCAAGAGGGCCCGAAGAGCGCGACATTTCAAGGTCTCCGGCCTGAGAGGCTCCTAGGACGCCCCTGGAGGCCATCAGGAGGCTCCCAAGAAGCCCCGTGGGGCTCCCGAGAGAGGCCCCCCCGAAGCCCCAATGAGCCCCCAAGGGCCCCCCAGGGAAGCCCCCTGCGGGCCCCCAAGAGACCTCGGTAAATCGTATTTCCCAGAGCTTTTCGGGAACATGATTCCTTGGGCTTCCGCCCACCGCCCCAACCATGTTTCCAATAGGCTTGCCGACAAGGCCAAAAAGAGCCCCTCGGTAAGCCCCCAGAGCCCCCCCTCTTAAGAGAGCCGAACAAATCATGCTCCCGGAAAGCTTCCCGGGAACATGATTCTCGGATTGCCGCCCTCTCCCCAAACCATGTTATAAACGCCTGCCATACCTGCCGCCACGCTCGGAAACGCGTCAGGCCCCGAAGCCTCGGGAGGCGCCCAACGACACCCCAACAAGTCATGTTCCCAGGAAGTCTTACGGCCAGTGCCGCCGACGTTGAAGGAGGACGGTCCAGGACACCCAGAAATCTTCCAAACAGGCTTCCAAGAAGGCGCCGAGACCGCGCAGGGCCGCTCCCAGACGGTCTAAGAAAGCCCCAACACAGACGAAAAGGCCCCCAAGAGGCCCCGAAACGAGGACATATCGCTCGAACACGCCCAAGATGGCCTCCGGACGGCCCACAAGGCTTCCAACACGGCCCAAAGGGGTTTAAAATAATTGATTCTGTTTAGGTTTTTTGATGGATTTCAGACGCCCAATGTCGCCCCAACAGGCCCCCACGAGGGCGCCGAGAAAGGCCCAGGGACGCCCTGCCGCGGGCGCGAGGCAGGGCCCGGGACGGGGCCCTCGCACCGGGGGGCCCGGGGCCCTGCCGTGGCGCTGGGGGCCTTGTAAAGTCGCCCGAGGACGGCCTTGGCGTTTCCAGACAACGAAAACGACCAGTGACCGCCCGTGATCACCCCAGAATTGGTCCCTGACTGTCCGAGAGGCCTCCAAGACGCCCCAAGAGGTCTCCAAGATGGCTCCCAAGAGGCCCCAGGTTCGAGTTCTCGCCTTTTGAGTTTCCTGACGCTCCAGGACGGCCTAAGAGGCTTTAATTTTCGCTCCAGAGCATCCCCAGAGGCCTCGAAGGCGGTCACAAGACAGCCCACGGGGGTCCCAAAACGGCGCCAGAGGCGCCCAAGGCGGCCCGAGAGGGCCCCAAGACGGCCCCAAGATGGAGCCAAGAGGGTTGACACGAACCGAAAATCCGAGTCTTCCACCCCGAGAGGCTGGAGGCCCCGAGAAGCCCCTAACAGGCTCCAAGAGGCCCCAAGAAGCCCCCCAGGGGGCCGAAGAGAATCCAAGAGGCCTCCCACGAAGGCCCCAAGAGTCAAAAATCCATGTCTTGCCATAGGTTTTTGATTGATATTAGAGTTTTCAGCGTTGTCGCGTCCTGACGCTTCAAGACCGCCCAAAAGGCCTCCAAGACCAATCCAAGATAGCTCAAGAGGCCTTCAACAGGGCCCAAGACAGCCCGAGAGGGCACCAATACGGCCCCAAGGGGGGCCCAAGAGGGGTAACGGTAAGACGAACCGAAAATCCGAGCCTTCCACCCCGAGAGGCCCTCATGAAGCCCCAGAGGCCCCCAAATGGGACCCAAGAGGCCCTCAAGAAGCTCCCCAGAAGGCCGAAGAGGTTCCAAGAAGCATTGTTTTCCCATCGGCTTCTGATGGATTTTAGAGTTCCCAGTCTTTTGGCATCCCGACGCTCCAAGACGGCCCAAGTGGCCCCCACGGCCGCTCCAAGATAGCCGAAAAGGCCTCCAAGAGGGCCCCAAGACGGCCCACGAGGGCCCCAAGACGGTGCCCGAAGCGCCCAAGACGGCCCGAGAGGGCCCCAAGAGGGCCCCAAGAGAGCCCCAAGAAGGGGAACGCGAACCCAACAGCAGAGCTTTCCGCCCTAAGAGGTCCACAGGAGGCCCTAAGAGTCCCCAAGTGGTCCGACGAGGCCCCCCAAAGCCCCCCACCAGGCCCCAAAAGCTTCACAGGAGACTCACACGGGGCCCCAAGATAGCCGAACAGTGCTCTCGATGCATCAAAATTGCTTCAAGGAGGCCCCGGGAGGCTTCCGGACTGCCCCAATGTGGCCTCAAGCCGGGCCTCCACGCAACCAAGACGGCCAATTGATTGTTTCAAATTGCAGAACTTCACTTTCCGACTGCCCAGAGAACCCTGACGATGCCCCCAAAGGGGCCCCAAGAAGCCCCAAGATGCCCCCCCGAGAAGCACCCAAGAGGTGCCTCCAACAGCCAATTGAGGAAGCACGGAGCCCTTCAGATGCCCCCACGAAGACCCAAGAGGTTCCCAAGAGGCCCTCAGGAGGCACGACTATGTCACGCGCCTGTGCTTGATAGCGCTGTCCAAGATCTTCTAGCGCGCCGCCAGCCTGGGCTAGAACCTGAGCGCGCGCGAAGCGCGCGCGATGGTTCTAGTACACATCTATTTAAACATATAAATATACAAGTGGCACGTGCGTGACCAGGCTCGTGCAAACGCATGCGCATGATGTGTGTCGTGTATGAGGTTCGGGGTCTGCGTGCTGTGTGGTGGTGGCGTGTGGTGTCTGCGATATGTGAGTTATGTGTGGGCCATGTGTGTTCTGCGTGCTAGGTGTGTGTGTGTGTGTGTGTTAGATGTGTCGTGTGTGCTGGTGCATTGTGTGCGTGGGTTGTTTGTGTTGGGTGTGATGTGCGTGTTTGTAGTGTGTGAGTTGTGTGTAAATATATATATATATATATATATATGTGCTTGCGTTGCACGTTGTAGGTGTTGTGTGTGTGTTGTGAATGGTGTGTGCTTTGCGTGGTGTGTGTGTGTGCGTTATGCGTGTAATATGTGTGTGTGGTGTACGTCAGGGCGAGATTCGGGGAGGGAAGACATCGGCGAATTCCATGCTGTCTTTAAAGGTTGTACGTTAAGATTATGGAACAAGAATGCGTCGTTGGACCGTGACGTCGCGAACTGCGTGAGGGGGGCGACCGATTATCAGAGTGTCGGGGAGTCCCGAGCGAAACGGCTCACAAAAAGAAGCGCGGTTTCACATCTTCGCCTCTGAGCTCTACTCCTTCAGAGTGGTGCGTATAAATATGCTTGTGTCTCTCTTTCTCAATTTCTCTATCGTTCTCTCTCTCTCTCGCTCTCCCCTCCCGTTCTGTCTCTCTCTCTCTTTCTCGACTCTCGCTTTCGCTCTCTCTCTCTCTCTATCATTCCTCTCCCTCGCCCATTCCTTCCTGCTCCTTGTTCTGCTCCTGCGTCTCCTCCACCAGGCACGGGCGCGCGACAGCGAGCCAAGTGTCTGAGACTCCCACGGCGGGTTATGCTCGACTGCACGATCTGAGTGCGATGCTATGCCGTACAATTCTTCTGTCGAAAAGCATAGTTTCTCGTTTTCATACGACGCTCCACAAGTGGCCTCACATTTATCACATCATTGCCCTTGGCGGGAGTTGGCGGAAAGAGAACGGCTCCGCCAACGAAAGCCAGCGGAAGTTCGAGCGGAAGTAACAGTGAAACGCCAGCACGTTTGGATTCAGATTCTGGAATCGGCCACTTACCCCCAACATCGGTGTGCGAAATTGTTGTTTGCATCCTCCTCTTGCTGCTCCGTATGACTGTTCTTCTCTCCTGGCCGGTCACCCAGCGGAGCGGATACGACCGGTGCAGGATATTCGGTTGGTCCGTGGAGACGTTCGAGACCGTGTTTGACATCGGCCATTGTGACCACATCTGTCTGGTCGGAAAAGATCAGGAGGAGCAGGATGAGGATTGGGAGGAGGCGGAGAAGGAGGAGGCGGAGGCAAGGGAGAAGGAGGACAACGAGAAGGAGGAGGAGGAGGAGGAGGAGGAGGAGGAGGAAGAGGGGGGGGAGGCGGAGGAGGAGGAGAAAGAAGAAGAAGAGGAGAGCAGCTGGTCGAGGCAAGAAGTTGGAGCAGCGTGAGGAGCAGAACAAGGAGAATGATCAGGAGGAGGAGCCGAACGAGAGGAGGAGGAGGAGGAGGAGGAGGAGGAGGAGGAGGATAACCCTAAACCTCGGAGATAAACCTAAAGTTCGGGGTTTTCGGGGGAGATAATAAAAGTTGCCCGCCAGAGCCAGCATAAAGAGATATCAGGAGCAAAAAGCCAAAGATATCTTGAGGATTCTTGGTCTTTGGTCCTCTATGAGACATCCTCAACAATGATTTGTCTCGGTTGAGACATCCTCAACGAATTGCTTGTTTCGCTTGAGACATCCTCGAAATATTTATCTGTTTCGCTTGAGACATCTTCAGATTATTGCTTATTTCGCTTGAGACATCCTTGAAATCATTGCTTGTTTCGCTTGAGGCATCCTCGAGATTCCTCATGTGCTTGTTTTCCCAGGATAATCAGCCACAGCGATAAACAAGTTCAGGGGGGCAGGGGGAGGAGAAGAAAGATATAGAGATACATAGAAATATAGAAAGAGAAGAGGAGGTAGTTAGATGAGGAAGAGGAGGAGGAGGAGGAGGAGGAGGAGGAGGAGGAGGAGGAGAAAGAGCAAGAGGAAGAGAGGAGAAGGAGATAGCAAAGCTCCAAAGTTTAAAACGTATTATATTTAATTTGTAAGCGCTTAATGACAATTAAATGTTTCATCTGCTCGTGTAGGGTAGCTCACGTGCCTCGTTTTCCCAGGATAATCAACCCCAACGATAAACAAGTTCAGGGCGCCAGAGGGAGGAGGAGGAGGAGGAGAAAGAGATAGAGAGACAGAGAGAGAGAGAGAGACAGAGAAAGAAAGAAATAACGACAGAAATCACTACAAAGAGACATAAGGACATTTGTTTCGCTTGAGACATCCTGAAAAAAAAACGTGTTCGCTTCGCTTGATGTTGTTACCTCAACATAAAAAGAAAGTAACCTCGATGGCGAACTTTCCCCGTGATAATGAAGTTCGGCCTCCGCGCCCTCCGCCTCTAGTTGACACCCGTCTAGGCCGACGATAAAAAAAAAAAAAACTCTAACTACTTAAGGGGGGGGTACTTTATTATCCTGGGCATGGGGTTATCCAGGAGGAGCATAGTCAGCAGGAGGAGGATACTGAGTAGAAGCAGGAGGATAACCAGGAGGAGGAGGATCATTCGGAGGAGGAGGAGGAGCAGAACGAGAGGGCGCAGGACGAGGGAGGCGCATGGCTCTCCTGGAGGTGCCCGTGCGAGGGGCAGCAACCGCCACCTCTCTCTCCCCCGTTCTTCCCGCTTCTCCTCCCTCCTGCTCGTAGGCCACAGCTGGCTGGACAGTTACACGCTGGCTGTTGAAAGTCCGTATTCTGGGACTCCCAGATCCCAATCTTTTTTTAGCGCCTTCCTACTTCAAGAATCGGCATGCGTTTGCTGTGTGTTGTTATTCTCTGGGAGGGTCTGGAACCAATCTACTTGATTCGCCTTCCTACTTCATGGTTTTACCTACTCCCTCCGACCGACGTGCAGGAGAGAGTGCATTTCAAGTTCGCTTGCCTCGGGACATCCACGAGGGGGTCTCGAAGCCCAGGGGACCCTTTCGCCCCCCCCCCCCCCCCCCCGAACAACATCCAGAGGCCCCATGTCTAATTGATGGGTGCGGGCGGTGGGAGTGCTGTGTGCCGTTTGTATGTTGGGTCTGACGAGCGTGTTTTGCCGATGACGAGGGGGAGTCAGTTCTTGAGCAGGGCCAGCGGAGGCAGACATAGAGCGAGAGGGGTGAGAGATAGCGAGCGATGTTGCGAGAGAGGGTGCGTGAGAGAGAGAGAGAGAGAGAAAAAAAAAAAAAGAGAGAGTGGGATAAATAAAACACATCGATTTGTGAGGCGGAGGAGGACGAGGACAATTAGGAAGAGGATGATAATGAACACGAGGAATCGGAAGACGAGGAGGCGACTAAGAATAAGAGGAGGCGGATGCGCCAGATGACGAGGAGGGGGAGGAGGAGGTGCGCAACGCCAGAAAGGAGGAGAGGGTGGAGAGATCCACAAGGCCGTCCGAGCGGCACCCCTCGCATGGACGCATGGGACTCCCAAACTCGATGTAGAGACGAGTTCCCTTAGCGGCAGCGCTTGCACCCGGAGCGACTCGACCCCTCGGAACCGCGCCCGCTGAGGCGTCGAGAGGGACTCGAAGAACACAATTGGAAGCAGTCCCGCGCCTCGCCGATGACCGCCGTCCTCTCCACGGAGCCGCAGCAGTGTGCGGACGCCGCTGGGAAGACGCCCCGCTCTCCCTCGAGGCCAGCAGGCAGCGATCCCGCTTGGAGGCGATCCGCCAGCGCCACGGGCAAGGGCGGCCGTGCTCTCCAGCCCGCCCGCCCTCCCCCCCCCTCGGCGCGCCTCGACCCGAGCCCCGGGCGGGGAGCGTCCGCGGTCCTCTCGCGGCCCCCCGCCGCTGCGAGCACCGACCTCCGCCCAGCTCGGGGCGGACGCGTGGGCCTCGCGTGCCGGCGAGCCGCCAGCCCTCGCGGCCTTGCCTCCCGTGCTCCCGTCGAAGAAGAGAACAGCGCCATGAACAGAAACGTTTGGCACTCCGCGCGGGTGTTTTGGAGCCGCGCTGGGGCCCCTTGGCGGCGCCTCCGGCGCCGCCCCTGGCGCACTCCGCGCGCCAGGGAGGAGGTTCTGAGACAGATCCGAGCAATCCCCGCCAAAGGTTCCTCTTTGTGCACTGTGTCTTCTTCCGCTCGCTGAGCACACCTGGCACGGGTCTTCGGCGCTCGGGCAAGGGCGGCGGCGCTTTCCAGCCCGCCCTCCGCCCGCGGCGCCTTCTCCGCCCGCTTGCTGGGAGCGTCCGCAGCCAGATTGCGGCCCTCCGCCGCGGCGCGCACCGACCTCCGCCCAGCTCGCCACGGACGCGTGGGTCTCGCGTGCCGGCGAGCCGCCACCCACGCGTGAGCGACGGCCCTTTACGCCGAGCTCCACCGCGCGGGCGCCTGCCGAGTGAAGGTCAGCGTCCTCCGATGGCCCCCCCCCACAGGCCCTGGGCGCGTGCCAAGCATCCTCCGGGATACAGGCGGAGCTCGGGTCCTGGCATCCACCATCAACCGCTGCTTTCATGGAACGCCCCGTCGGGACTTGCTCTCACGGGCACGCCGTGCATGCCAGGAGGAGGGTGTTGCTGTTGTTGTTGTTGTTGTTGTTGATGCTGATGCTGATGGTGATGCTGCTGATGATGATGATGATGATGACGATGATGATGATGGTGATGATGATGATTACGAGGTGGAGGAGGAGGATGAGGATGAGGGTCAGGATGATGATGCCGATAACAATGATGATGCTATGATGATGATATGATGATGAGGATGACAATGATGATGATGATGACGATGACGATTCCGATGAGGATGATGAAAATGAAGAAGAGGACGATGATGATGATGATTATTGTGACAATGATGGTGCTGATGATGCTGATGAGAATGGCGACTGGGACGCTATTGAATACAACGAATATGACGATGATGATGTGGATAGAGAAAAGGATGATGCTGCTTATGACGATGATGAGGGGATGCTGATTATGATGATGATTAGGATGATGATGATATTGAACGTGACGATGATGATGATGCTGATGATGATGATGACGCTGATGATGATGATGACGATGATGCTGATGATGATGATGGCGATGATGATGAGGATGAAGAAGAGGATAATGGTCATGATGATGAGCTTGACAATGATGGTGCAGATGATGATGATGATGATGATGATGATGTTGATGATGATCATGATGATGATTAGGATGGTGATGCTGATGATGATGATGATGATGATGACGAATTGGGATGAAGATGCTGATGAACGCGACGACGATGACGATGCTGAGGATGATCCGGATGATGTGGATGAATCAGAGGATGACGATGCTGGTTATGACGATGATGGTGGTATTGATGATGGTCTTGATGATGATGATGACGATCATGCTGATGATGCTGATGATTATGATGATAATGATGATGATGAGGATGCGGATGCGACTAAAAACGAAGATGATGACGGCCATGATGGTGATGATGTTGATGGCGATGATGCTGATTATTGGTGGTGACGGTGATGAATATGACAATGATGGTGATGCTGCTGATGATGCTGATGATGATGATGCTGGGGGTGGTGACGACGATGATGATACTACTCATTCAGGTAATGATGCAACTGAACACGATGATGATGAATACGATAATGCTGGTGATGGTGATGCTGATGGTGATGGCGATGCTTCTCTTTCTGATGCTGACGATGATGATGGTGATGATGCTGATTATGCTGAATATGATGATTACGATTACGAATGTGATGATGATGATGATGATGATGATGATGATGATGATGATGATGATGATGATGATGATGATGATGATGATGATGATGGTAATGATGCTGATGATGATGGTGATGATGATGATGCTGATGATGCGGATGATGATGATGATGATGATGAGGATGATGATGATGATGATGGTCATGCTGATGATGATGCTGATGATGATGATGATGGTGATGATGATGATGCTGCTGCTGATGATGATGATGCCGATGCGGCTGATGATGCTGCTGCTGATGATGACGATTGTGATGGGTGATGGTGCTGATGATGCTAGCGACGACGATGATCAGGAAGACGTCGTCGAGGAGGTGGAGGAGAAGCAGGAGTCCGAGTACCACAGGAATACCAGGAGGAGGAATCATGATATGAGCAGGAGCGGAGTAGGAGCAGGAGGAGGAATCAGCGTAACATGCCGCAGGAGGGAAATGAGGAAGGCTGTAATAATGTTGCGTTGAAAGAAGACGAAGCAGGAGCAGAAGAGGCCCGAGAAGCAGGTCGCACGCTGGCCCGCAGGCGATGGGGTGGAACCTTCCCCCTGGGTGACAAAAGAACGCCTTCCTTGATGGAGGCGGCACAGCCGTGCGTTCCCCTTCCCTTTGTCGGGGGCCCTCATTGCACAGGCAGGTCAGAGGCAAGAGCAGGAACATCGCCCTCTCGGCAGGACGAGGAGGTGGAGGTGGAGGAACATGATGACCCCGCAGGAAGAACAGGAGCCTCAACAAGATGCAGGAGGAGGAGGTAGACGGATGAGGAGGGGAGTCGATAGAGGAGGGACGCTCGCTCTCCTGGCAGATGAAGGAGGCGACCCACCCAGGTCAAGAACATGGACACGCTCTCCTATAACATCTGGGAGGAGATGTCGCACCCTCCCAGAGGGCTGCGGGCCCAGCGGCCCTCACCCTGCGCCAGCGGGAGGTGGAGCAGAAAGCGGAGGAATTGCGTGGGGTGAAGGGGATGGGAGGAAGAGGAGGGGGAGAGGAGGGGAAGGAGGAGGGGGGGGGGCAGGGAAGAGGAGGAGGAGGAGGAGGAGGAGGAGGAGGAGGAGGAGGAAGGAGGAAGGAAGGAGGGAGGAGGAGGAGGAGGAGGAGGAGGAGGGTGAGGTAAGGAGGAGGAGGAGGAGGTTGGGATGAGGAGGAGGAGGAGGAGAGGAGGAGAGGAGGAGGAGGGCGGGGAGGAAGAGGAGGAGGTGGGGGGAGGGAGAGGAGGAGAGGAGGGGAGAAGGAGGAGGTTGGGAATGAGGAGGAGGGCGGGGGAGGGAAGAGGAGGAGGAGGAGGAGGAGGAGGAGGAGGAGGAGGAGGAGAAGTAGGAGCGGGAAGACAAGGAGGGCGAGGGTTTCGTCCCTCCGTCGCCGCGATGCTGCGCAAGCGGAGAAGGAGGAGGAGGAGGAGGAGGAGGAGGAGGAGGAGGAGGAGAAGAAGAAGAAGAAGGACGACTGAGGATGGCCAGAAGGCAGTAACTCAGGAGGACGACTGAGGACGACCGAGGATAGCGAGAAGGACAACTGAGGATGGCGAGAAGGACGACCGAGGGTGACCGAGGAGGAAAATGCGAAGGACGACCGAGGAAGACGACGACGGCAAGGAGGAGAAGGACGACCGAGGACGACCGAGGAAGGCGAGAATAACGACCGAGTGTGCGGCAGTACCTGGCTCAAGACGAGGATGCACAGTTATACTTTTATGCACGGCCCACCCTGCTCGCTTCAATGGGATGTGGTCTCGGGTGCTCACCCCTTCGAGTGCTGCAAGAGACAAGGAGCCAGAGTGGCAGTGCAGCATCCGGTTTCCGAGCGCAAGGTTACATTGAGCCTTCCCTCCGAAATGTGTGGGTGGAGCTCCCCAGAACCCCAACGTCGTGATTGGGAAGGTCCAGCGGCCGGCGCCGCCGACCCTGAAGGGGGACGGCGACGACGACGGCGGCGGCGGCAGCGGTGACGACGACGACGCTGACGCTCTGGAGCCTTTCGTGGGGCTCTGTTGGGGCTTGGGCTGGGGCCGCGGCTGGGGCCAGGGCCAGGGCCGGGGCCACGGCGGCCCGAGGCTGGGGCCACGGTCGAGGCTGGGGCCGGGGGCCGGGGGCCAGGGCGGGGCCGGGGCGCCAGGGCCGGGATCCGGGCTGCGGCCCCTTGGTCTGGGCCGTGTCCGGGTCCGGGGCCGGGGCGCTGGAGCGGGGGCTGGGGCTGGCATTGGGGCCGGAGCGGGGACGGGGCGCGGGGGGGAAACGTATCTTGCGACGCCCCCCGGGACACCCCCGGGACCCCCACCCCCGCCCAGCGCGTGGAAGGGATCAAAGGGAGAAGGGGCTCTTCTTCGATTCCACTCCGATGTTGTTCAATTTTGCTTTGGACGGCCTGTATGAGGAAGAGGGCCCAGGCAAATGGAACAGAGGAGGACGGAGACGACGAGTCCAACAGAAAACATGATTCGAACGGAAAAGCCCCTCGCACACGCCGACAGGGTCGGAGGATCTGTTCGCAGCGTCGACCCCCGGAGGTCCAGACCTCTTTCCCCGGGAGCCGTTTCTCATCCCCCCAGCCGGTCTTCCACGGTCCCGGGGCTCGGGGAGTGCCCCTGGAGGCCGAACATTGTCAAAGAAGCGTTAAGTCGGGCCTGTCCTTCCACAGGAGGAATATTCAAAAATAGTAAACGAATAGTCTGAGGACGATGTTTGGTTTGTTCATCTCTTTGGGAGCACTTTTGGTGCATATTTTTATCTGTCATCCAACGTCCGCCTGTAGGAGGACATGCCCGACCTAAAAGAAGCATCCGTCGTGGTTTCTTCATGACGCGAGGATGTGGCGGCGCGACACGCTAGAACCGAGCGTCCCTGACCCTGCGGGCGGCCAGGTTCCCGTTGAGGTGGTTTCGGCTCTCATCTTTATCACCGGTTTTTCCTCGATCGATGCCATTCCCTCCTCCTCCCCTTCCGTCTCCTCCTCATTCTCCTCCCTCGTCTGTTTTCCTCACTCTCTCAGCCCCCCTCCCTGCACCGTTCATATATCCTCCTCCTCCTCCTCCTCCTCCTCCTCCTCCTCCTCCTCCTCCTCCTCCTCCTCCTCCTCCTCCTTCACTCGACTCCTTTGCCGCTTCTCCTCCCTCCTTCCTCCTTCCCGCCCCCCCTGCATCCTTACCCCTTCTCCTGCGCAGCAAGGAGGAGGCCAAGGACGAGGAGGAGGAGGAGGAGGAGGAGACCGAGCAACAGGAACTCGGAGCTCGGCGGTCCGCGAACGGATGCCAGAGGGCATCGTTGCCGAGGGTGTGCGCCGAGCAGCAGGAGGAGAGAAGAGGAGGGAGGCGGAGGAGAGAGCGGGGAGGGAAAAAGAGGAGGGAGGAGGCGGCGGGAGGAGAAGGAAGAGGGAGAGATGGAAGGAGGAGGGGGAGGGAGAGAAGGGGGAGGGGAAGGGAGGAGGGAGGAAGGGGAGGGAGGGAAGGAGAGTGGGAGAAGGGGATGACAGACGGATGGGTGGAAGTCCTACCAGCGAGGTGGCATGTTGAGGCTGCGGGCACAGCCGCCTTAGCAGAGAGCTGCGGGGCCCATTGGGCGTCCGACAGCAGCCCAGCAACGTCCGCCTAGGGAACATAACTAGGAGGAGGAGGAGGAGGAGGAGGAGGACGAAGGTGAGGACCTCGAGGAGGAAGAGAAGTCCTCGTATTGCCTCACCCCCCGTGGCGGGGACTTGGGCCGCACCCGAGGCCCTGGGCTACAAGGGAGATCTGGGTCGTGTGCAGGTCGCTGCAGGCGGACAAGGACGCCCCGCCCATGGTGCCCACCTCGGCCCCTCTTCCTCCTCCTCCTCCTCCTCCTCCTCCTCCTCCTCCTCCTCCTCCTCCTCCTCCTCCTCCTCCTCCTCCTCTCTGTTCTCCGTCCTCCTCGTCCGCCTTGTCCTTCTCCTCCGCCGCCTCCTCCACCTCCTCCTCCTCCTCCTTTTGTCGGGGTGGTGGTGGACCTCGTCCCGACCGACCCGATCCGATGTCTCCAGCTTCGTCCCGATCCCATTGACCGCTACGGCGGGGTGGACATCGTGGCCCCGGCGATGAGCTCCCCCCGACGACATTAGAGAACTATGCGATGACGTAAACACAGCAACTCCACGGTCCATGCGTATTTCTCGGATCGGCCTGGAGCCCCCCGGCGCTGCTTACGGCGCCGCCCCTGGCTCGTTCCGCGCGCAAGGGAAGGGGATCCAGCGCCGATCCGAGAAAACCGTGCGGACGTTTGAGTTCCCTTGTTTATCTCATTGTTATTTCCCGATGTCGTGGCCTGGGCCATGGGATCTCCCCGACGTCATGGCCACCTCTCCTTCTTTAGAATACGTTCCCTGGCGACCCCCGTGTCCGCAGACCTGCCGCAGGATGCACAACCCCCTCTCGTCCTGGCCCCCGTCTTCGCTGCACCTGGATCTGTGAGCGTTTGCTTACCCGGCGTTTCGAAAAGGGGCCGAAGGGGGTGGGGAGGGGGGGGGGTCTGGATGCGACGGTTTGCAGCAGTGCGTCCTATGGGTGAGACTCCGCAGCTTGAAATAGGCGCCGAAGACAGCCGAGGTCCACTCCACGGGAGGGGGGAGGGGGGCGGAGAGGCGGGGGCCCGCGCCGATCGGCAAGACAAGGGATAATAAGACGATCCCTCTCGCGGCTCGATGGGACAAACGCGGTTACAGTCCGGTCGGGCGTGTCCCCCTACAGGGGGATGTTCGACGAAAGAGAAAACAAATACCCCCAAAAGTACTCCCACGTGATCAAAGCACATACTCAAAAAAACAGTCCCCAGACTGTTATTTGACTATTTTTGGATATTCCCGCTGTAGAGGGACGGGCCCGACATAAGGTTACAGCTCAGCCTGGTCGCGCAGTTCGATGCGGTGCAAGGGCGCTCCCCCCTTGGGCCTTCCGAGCCCGTGCAAGCCCAGCCCGAGCGCACCGCCGCTGCCGCACCCCCCCCTCCGAAGAGGAGGAGCAGGAGGAGAAAGGAGGAGTGTGCGTGTGTGTGTGTTTGTGTGTGTGTGTGTGTGTTTGTGTGTGTGTGGTTTTTGTGTGTGTGGGTTTGTGTGCGTGTTTGTGTGTGTGTGGGTGTGTGGGCGTGTGGGTGCGTGTGTGTGTGAGTGTGTGTGTGTGTGAGTGTGTGCGTGTGCGTGTGCTTGTGCGTGTGCGTGTGCGTGTGCGTGTACGGGTGTGCGTGTGTACGTGTGCGCGGGTGTGCGGGTGTGCGGGTGTGCGTGCGTGTGTGCGCGTGTGTGCGTGTGTGCGTGTGTGCGCGTGTGTGTGTGTGTGTGTGCGCGTGTGTGCGTGTTTGCGTGTGTGTGTGTGTGTGTGTGTGTGTGTGTGTGTGTCGACCCGTCCCAGCCGACCAGGCAGGTCTACGCCGTCGACACGGCCCTGTCCCTCGGCGCCCTCTGGCGACATGACCAGTGTGTACCTAGCCTTTCCCCACTACAGTGTATGTGCGGATTGCGAGTGTAGTCCACTCTCTGCCTGCCCCGACATAGCACCTACACAGTGGTGGACTGGCGCCGCGGCGCACAGCACAGAATTCCTTGGCATTTTGCCACTGGTCTGCATGATGCTCGAGCTTCCCTCGGCGTTGCAGTTCAGCCAGCCAGCCCCCCGCCGCCGCCGCCGCAGAAGCTGCCTCTGAGGGCTGGCTCGGCCGGCTCGCGCTGCGCCTCGCAGCTAATTTGGCTTGCCCGTCGACCCGGACACCCTGTTCGCCACCTGCGCTTTCACTCGCGGCCGCGACCAAAAAAGTGTGTGTGTGTGCGCGTGTGTGCGTGTGTGCGTGCGTGCGTGCGTGTGTGGGTGTGTGTGTGTGTGCGTGTGTGTGTGTGTGTGCGTGTGTGTGTGCGTGTGTGATTGTGATTGTGTGTGTGGATGTGTTGCCGTGTGGGTGTGTGGGTGTGTGGGTGTGTGTGGATGGGTGTGTTTGTGTGTGGGTGTGTGGGTGTGTAGGTGTGTGTGTGGGTGTGTGTGGGTGTGTGTGTGTGGATGTGTGGGTGTGTGGGTGTGCGTGTGCGTGTGTGTGTGTGAGTAGGTGTGTGCGTGTGCGTGTGTGTGTGTGGTGTGGGGTGTGCGTGTGCGTGTGCTGTGTGCGGTGCGTGTGTGCGTGG